CAGGTTTAGGGGTGCACTGCAGTGGCGACGGCCCCTCCTCCCCCAGCAGACAGCATCTCACCCCTCTCAGCTTTAGCTGGCTGAGGGGAGGCAGAACTCATTGCATGGATGTGTTGTGAAGAAGTCACTCCCACCCCCCCCAGGTCCAGGCAGCCCTAACCGGGGCGGAGGCGCTGTGCCCCTGCCTGCTGCGGTGGAGCCCAGAGCCGGGGCAGCCCGGTCCGTGGGTGGGCTCCGGACCGCAGGGAAAAGTTGGGGGGAGGCCGTCCACTGCCTGCTGGGGGTCCCTGTCCCAGTGCACCCATTCCCCTCATCCCAGCCCCTCGGCTGGGTGGGAGCATCCTGGGGGCGCACAGAGGGGGAGTCCTGGCCACGGGGTACGGCTCGGGGTGGTTCATGGGGGCTCCAAGCAGTTTCTTTGCCTGCTGGGGGCCAGGGAGCAGCCCCAGGGCACCCCTTGCGCCTGCCGACAGCAGGGGCGAAGTGGCAGCCAGGCTGAGCAGGCTGCACCGAAACAACTGAACCGGCTGTGCCACCGGGGACGGGACCTGCGCCCTAAAGCGTCTCCCTCGGGGGACCTGGGGCTGTCCCCCCATCCCCATCCCCACGCCTCCCCAGCCCTGCAGCCCCCCGCTCACCTGGTCGGCCTGGCACTCCCGCTCGCAGGTGCTCTGGGCGTCCACCCAGAGGTTGGGGTTCAGCTGGTTGGGGCAGACCCCCAGGTGCCGCATCCTGCCCGGCTGCAGGCTCAGCCCGGCCGCCGCCGCCGCCAGCAAAGGCAGGAGGAGCGTGACGCCCATGGGAGCACACTGCCACCCGCCCGCTCGCCCGCCCCGGCCTGGGCAGCCGAAATTCCCGCGAGGAGGCATCTGGCCACCCCACGCCACCGGGCCGGCTCGCTGGCGAGGGCTCAGGATAAATCCCATTCAGGATGGAGGGGATGAGGGAGAAGGCGGGCGGGCGGGGGGACAAAGAGGAGGAGGAGAGGACCAAACTTCTGCCCTTCAGCACGCCCAGCGCCTGCTGGACCACCGGCGATGCCGCCCGCCACCTCCATCCATCGCCGCCACTCGGCTCTCAGGGTGCCGGGGACACGGTGGCAGCGGGGTCCCTCGGTGAGAGGGGCTCAGTCCATCCCGCTCCCCGCCGGCGGGGCGAGTGGGGTGGAAGGGGAGGACGGGAAGGTTGTAATCTGAATCCCCTCCCTTTCCACTGATGTTTCTGGGTGTTTGGAATGGGAAAGGCGCTGACCTCAGCCTCTAACCCCGGCAAGCCCAGCGATCGGCTGGGCAAAGACAGGGGGAGATCAAAGGCAGAATGCGGAAAGTCTCCAAAGAGGGAGAGTGAAAGGAGGGGGGGGACACAAAAAAATCCCGCCCGGCCCACGGAGCTGAATTCCTGCAGGATGAGAAAACAGCCAGAGCCTGTGGTCCACTCGGACAGGGCTGCCGGCAGGGAGAGACGCGGAGCCCAGGCTGCAGGGGCCCAGGCGGGCCTGGGAGCCCCTCACCCCGCACCTCGCCTCTTGGCACCCACTGGCACCGCGGGCAGAGGCAGGCCCGCGCCCAGGGGCGGGGGGGCCGCACC